AAAAAATAATAATAATAATTTTAACACTTGGTCAAATTTTTAAATATGATATATGTGGAATAAGCCTTCAGTTCAGTTCCTACTATGAAAGATGGAACCTAACTGTTAGAAATAAGAGGGAAAAAACCCAAAGGAGGAATATCCGTTAGTTCCATTTCATGCAGTGTGCAAATGAAATTAGTTTCTGGTTGTTTTCAGTTTTTGGCCCATAGTTTCAGTAACAGGCTGACCTGACGCAGCGTTTCCCTGATTTGCAAGACTATTTAGTGTCATAGTGTATGCTGACCTTGGAGGCCAGCTTTTCACCTGATATAATAACTGTTCTTACTATCTATCCTCAGTATGTTTGGCAAAAGTCCAATTAAGAATTTCAGACCAGCATTGATTATAGCTGCAGTATAATGTGTTTAAAAAGTCCCAAACAGCTTATTATCCAGCCATAAATCAAATTCTGCAACACTGTAACCAAAGTGTAGACAGTCCAATAAATTCCAGATATGACAGCCCAGATGTCAGCTGTGTCTTTGGAACATTTTTATTTTCTTCTTCCTCCCTCCCTTCCTCCCTCCCTCCCTCGTCCCACAACCCCTCTGCATGAAACATGTACAGTGAATGTGTTGGGATGTTAAAGGGATGTTAAACATGGGACGACGTCTGTGTCGTGCCTGTGGATAATCATCTGGGCTTCACAAGTATAGAGACCGCAATCCATCAGAGCCATGTGGCATTTGTGGTCCACATCCATGTGCATCACTGAAATGATCTGGTTGAGTTGAAAACATTTCTCATAAAATCTCAATTATTTCTCAGACACAAAAAAAGGCTTGCACCTTTAGCACAGTTCAGCCTCAGTCACGGTATAGTCAGTACTATACATATGTTCCATTCAATGAAGCTATTCATTCATAATGGTAAGGCAACTTAATGTGTGCTTGGATACACGGGAATGTACTGTTGCTGTGAAAGCTGATTGTGATTACTGGAGCAAAACAGAGCTTTCTGTAAGACTCGTATTGATATCGGAGCAGGGTGTGCATCCGAGATATGCAGTGAAATAGGACATACAGTATAATATGAAATATAAAAGGTGTAATGTCCGCTTGTTTCAGCTTAGCAATGACTGAGAGCTGGCCTCAAAATAAGGCTGCAACATTCAAAAGGCTAACAGAAACTTTAACATATAAATCATTTTAAAATTCAGATTATGCTATAATACAGAAACATGATACAAAATAAGCCATCTCAAAATCACCAGTTATTCATAGTTTGGTGTATGTATTTAGTTGATTAAAAGTCCGGATGTTAAGTGAATTCTGTCATTGTCATTATGAGTCTATTAGTGGGAATGAAACGTTGAATGAGAAGTAAATCACTTTGGCCAAGCTACTTCCTTAGAAGACCCTCAGATAATGTTGCCTTGCCACAAAAGATGAAAATGAAGCACTTATGAAATATGCAGGTAAGTAAACCGTCTTATCTGTATTTAAAAAACATCCGTCCTACAAAAGAGTGTGCAATCTTCCTTCAAGGCAGATCTTTATTTAAAGACTTTGGGGGTGTCTTCAGAATGGAATCCATCCCACAGAATGAGTCTACAGTCTGTTTTTTTTTTTTTTTTAAAAGGCAATTGATATCTTGTGTTGGCTGTTAGGAGAAACTCTTCGATGTCGTAAACATTTGAGAAAAGACAGACTGAGAGAGAAAACAGAGAGCAGGGTGGTTCACTGTGAGTCTTTTGACACGTGCATGACAGGTAGTACTGTAGTGCTGTGGTCACTCGAGTGATCGTTGAGTCTGTGGCCAATTTGCCTTTGGCCACCTACTGACCATGTTTAAATGAGATGGTACTGACCAGTGAGTTGATACCTGTTATTTTATATGACTCCACCGACACGGTTAGGACTGCACCTCTCTGTGCGCGCTGACCAATCGTGCCTCACTGACCAGCCGGCGGGCGTGCCTTTCATCCCGCACCCCGGCTTCCCATGCAATGCTCTCTGTTAACAAGGCCACACGACTCAGTGTGTCAATTCCCGCTGCTGCCAGAGACGTGGTGTACATGGGCAGGCCGATGGAGGTGAGCCAATCAGAGACCGTGCTGATGTTACCTGATGGCAGAGGCTTCCGGCACATCTCTGTCAAACCTCCAGAAGGGATCTGAGTGACACAATGGGGGTGAAAAGCCATTAGATACAGTAGGTAGTCTGATGATGTCACATTGCTGAATATACAGAGACATTTGTGCTGACAATAGAGGTTTTCAGATTTTCAGGAAACTTGTCGTGTTTCTGCATGCCAACTTTGTTTGGCCAAATCATGTAAAGCTAAAGAGTAAAGATAGACTCTATTAAGTCACTTTTAGGCTGCTTATAACAATAATACATTGACAACTGCCTCTTAAAAGTATATCTCCACATTTACCAAGCTTGTTAGATATTTAAGCAAGAATAAAAATCACTGCTCCTCAATGATGGTGCCAGCCTTGGGTAGAGGGAAATTACTGTCACAACTGCTCTGTTTTCCAGCCTGCATTGTTACTTTCTAGAAAAGCCTCACTAAGCATTTCTCTAGCTCTATAATTTCCAAAAAAAATAGCTCCAACATTGTCTCAATTAATATGAAGTTCTCAGTGATGTTGCCTTACAGCCATGCGGTGTTGTTTACGGAGCTCTTTGACTCGGAGCTGGTCCATGGTGGAGGCCACGTCCTTGACGGCCTGGCCCAAGTCCTCGGAGTAACGCTGCACCAGCGGCTGGGGGATGCCACACCGGCCATGCTGGAGGAAGGAAGGGAAGAAAGAGACATTAGATATGACTAATTCGATAGAGCAATACAGCTAAACCACATACAAAACAGAAATCTATGAAGCGTCCAAGAAGAGAATCTAAGAGGACAATACATCAGACATTTGAATGTGTCAGAGAGCAGTGGATTAATGAAGAGGGCTTACGTAAAGGAGAATTTTGACTTATTACAGTCATTATGAAAATTAAGATCTGGTTATTCATGAATGAAGCAGACTAATGGTGTCAAAATTGCTTGTCTAAGAACATCTTCTGGCAAAGTAATGAGAACAATTCTAAAGGAGAGTCAGAGAAATATGAAGACAAACACTAGAAAATAGACTATAATTAAACTCTAAAGTAAATCAGGTCAGTGTATTTTGTTCTGGTTCCTCCACAGTACATGAGCAATACCCCAATCACCATTTCCACTTCTACTGCAAGCACACGCTAGATCACGTTTTGTATGTCTACTTAGCATGTTTTGTACTAATAAAAGGAAAACAGATCAGGATGAGACAAGAGGAAAGTACAAGATGTAAGGAGAGATGTGAGGGATCAAGCATGGCAGGAAATTCTACTGTTTTCTGTTTTCTTGTTCTCTCTCCCTTTGTGTAGACACCTGGAGCAATGGCAGGTTTCCAGCAAGGCCTGGTTTTGGTTGGCCGAACTGGACAGGAGGATGAAAGGGTGGGTGGATGGAGGAACTGATCCCTCCGGAAAGCAGAATGGAGAGAAGGTCTTAAAAGCCGACCCTTCACACTGTCTGGGGCCAGATGCCTTTAGGCACCCAATAGTAAATTGAAGTTTAAAGACGTAATACCCATGCCAATATGATATCAGAGGATCAATCTCGACAGCTTAGTTTTTTTTTAACATAAACATGTTTTTTCCCTCTAGTTTTTCCATTTAATAAAGTATTCCAAACTTCTCAGTGCGTCAGTGTTTGTGTTTGAGTCTGGAGATTGCCTAATTTATATCAGCAAATATCTTTTAAAAGGTCAAAGCAAGCCTTTGAGACAATTATTTTTCAACTATTTTTTAATCGCCCGGTGCGTAGGATTTAGTGGTATCTAGCGGTAGGACATTGCAACTCCCCCTCTTCACCCTCCCATTCTAAGAGTAAAGGAGCAACTATGGTGGCCATTAAACAAGCAAAAGAACGATAACACCCCTATATGGAACCAGTGTTCGGTTTGTCCCTTCTGGGCTACTATAGAAGCACGGCGATTCAACATGGCAGACTCCATGGAAGGCAACCTGTGGAGTCTGTATATTTAAACCGCTCATAAGGTAAGAAAAAAACAACAATATATATTCAGTTGATTATACAATATTGAAAGCATATCTATGGATATTATATTGCATTTCTGCAGCGTCCTAAATTTTGGACCTTTAAGTAATTGCACACTTTAATTAGCAAATGGAAAGAATCCATTTCGAAAGGTTTTCAACATTTTCAACCTGTACAGGCTCAAACCCCACGTCTCTGCCAATCCACATCTGACTAATAGTAATCCACCAGCTGTGCTGTGGTCTAAAGCATTTCTCACCTCATCCCCTGATGCCTCTGTGTGTTTGTGTGTTGTTTTCCTGCCAGCGTCGGGGGCTCTGCCATGTTAAAGGGGGCCCAGCCTGGGGTCTGGCGAGTGGCAGAGGGTTTTATAACCCTGTCTGCCTTCAGTAAGATTCAGCCCATAAACTTAACAGTCTGAACCGCATCATAGTGAGACTCAGCCCACAGTCTTTCACTCAGCTCGAGGCAGTGTATTTATTATAGGACATACACACACACCCACACATCACTGACAAATGCGCTTGCATACAAAAAGAAACATACAAACTCTAGACTCTAATAGTCTCTATTTTTAAACTAAATGAGGTCCAAAGCAAGCTGCTGATGTTGTTGGCCTCAACACAGAGTAATTTGGATTCAAGCTGCAGTGAAATTATGACTGAGTTTAGTTAAGCATGTTACAGTGCTAAACTAAAAGAGCCTGACGCCAGACAAGTATAGCCCCGAGGTGTTTTGGAGCCTCATTTTCACATTAACCATGGAAATATGGCTTTATATGTTTTTATTATGTGTTAGCTAAAAAGAGGTTTTCTCCTCACCTCATCTATATACCGTAGTGTGTATATGTTTATTTTAATTATCAGAACAAAAATTTATGTTTTAGTGCATACAAAAAGTTCAGAATGATCAATTAATTCAGGAATCCAGTTTGGAAGATTTTATACTTTAGCCAACTATTGCCAGCATTTGTTTGGTGCATCTGTGCAATGTAATTTATAATCTAAATTGCGAGGTGATTTTTCTTGTCTCAAGTTAAGATTAATGAAAGTTTGTTCTAACCTTGTCAGAGTAGGGCTCCTCTGTAAGATCGATGCCCTCAGCCTCTAGCCGTTGTTCCAGGAGGGTGAGCAGGTCAGGACTCATCTTGGAATGGGAAACCTTCCTTGCAACAGCCACCTTGCCCCCCAGATCAGAGAGCCACGGAGGCTGCACTGCGGGCGGAGTGCCTGACTCCTCGCCCATGGATGAGGCGGATGAGGTGGCACAGGGGCTGGCAGGGGTGCTCGGGGTCTTGGCGGGCAGAGCAGGGGCACTGGGACTGGGGCTGCTGCTGCTGCTGCGGATTATAGGACTACTGGGGTGAGAACGGTTGAGGGTGTGGGTAGGGGAGGGAGTGGGAGAGGGTGAGGAGGGCAGGGAGAGAGGGGGGTGACGTAGGCCATTGGCTAGTCTCTCCTTAGACTTCTTGGCAGGAACGGGAGGAGGGACTGGAGGCTTTTTGGGGTGAGTCCGGATGACCCTCTCCCCGCTTGCATTAGACTCAGGGGGACTTGGAGTCGGACTGGAGAGGGGCTCTGGAGGGTTAGAGGACTGCGTCGTACGACAAGGGGGGCGAAGAGGCAGCTGGGAGGGCACAGGTGGTCTGTCGGCCCTTCCTTTTGGGCTCACTGGTGGTGTCCTATTCTGAGCTATGGAACCCTCATCTCTACAGACCTTGCTGGGGCTACTGTTGCCAGACTTGGGTCCGTCCTTGGTGAGTTTAAGCTCCACACCCAGATCCTTATGCTCAAAGTTCTGCTCCCAGTGCAGATCCCCAAGAGAGTGGGAACGTTTCCATGGTCCAGTGGGCTGTGTGGGCCCATCCAGGTCCTCGCAGCTGCGGCTGGCCGGAATGGGGGATTGTCTTTGGGCTTTGCGAAGCCCCAGCAGGTTGAAGCCCTTCAGGGAAGGTTTGATGAAGAAGCTTTTGGGGAACTTCGAGCGCTGGTTCTTGCTGTTCTGTTGCAGAGCCTCTGTTGACAGGGTCATGGGCAGGGTGGGGTAGTCTGGAGACTGGAGGCCTGCTGAAGAACGACTGGAACGGGAAGCCTTTCTGCTCTTACCTGCAAAATAAAAAAAAAACATTTATCATCTCTTAGTAATGAGATGTAGACACTTTTCCTTGACTGTTTAAAATGTTTTTCCTCTTTTGGGAAACCGCTAACAGAGAATAAGTCACTCTTTAGCTTGCTATAACCATGCCTCCATTACAGCTGCATTAGGTAACTTTTATAAAATATTATTTTTTGTCATATTTACTGAAACTTTCAATATATTCTGACAGTAGCACATGAGACACATAATCTTTGAAAACAATCTTGTTCCTCTGGCTCCTCATTGTGCTCCTAATGTGACTAAACAATCAACTATCTTTCTTAGACATTTTTATAAAAATGTACCAACTGCTTATTATAAAAACCATATATATATATATATATATATATATATATGGTTTTTATATTAAGCAGTGCGTGTGATATATTTTGTCTGCCTTTCATTCACACTGTTTTCCTTTCTTTCCCTTGATAGCTGTGGATTTTAGCAAAAGTTGAGAAAACTGCTATGGAGAAAAAAAGGAAACAATATCTATAACTGAGTAACAGAATACACAAATACTCTGGATCATATATGTTTACCTCATTGGAAAACATGTTCACAGCACCAATTATTCTTAACAAGTCTGCCAGAGCCAAGTCATTTGAAAAAAAAAATTGTTATTGTAAAGGCTTATCTGTAAACCACAGTCAAAAGCAGAGAAATGTTTATAAGGAAGGGGTGGGGTGCCACTGGGATAAGATAAGTTCTTTGACTCATGACCAAACTGGCTGATTTGTTGTTGTCATAGCAGCAACTCCAAATAAAGATATCTGGACAGGGTAGTTCAGAAACATTGGAACAAAAGACTGAAGCAACTTACCATCTATCCTCTGGCTTACAGAGCAAAATGGATGGATGAGATGGATGGGTGCCACATAGTGTGGCTTGCCAAAGAGTTTAAATGTTTGGATGACAGACAAGAGTTCAATAGATGGAATGTCATGAAATATCTCAACAGTTCCCAGAAGAGTAAAAAAAGTTAAGCACAAAACTGCAACTTATTAATAAATAGCAAATTTGTCAGAGACTAGATGCATTACTGGATTATATAGCAGCATTAGGAGCAAGTTGTATGTTAAATTCTGAAGATGATTTATACTGACATTTAATAAGAATACTTGACCAAACTAATATTCTTATAAAAATCAATAAAAAAATAAAGACGTTGTTTATATAGAAATATAATTAGTAATAGCAACTGATTTAAGATGTTTTCAAATAAACCTAAAGTTGTGTGTCATTATTTTTGTTTATTTTGTATTATGGAGATCACTGACTGAATATCACCATTACTCGACCCCTTACTAAACTGACCAATACATCACCACATAATGTATGCATATGAAAATGATGAGTAGAAGTTGATAGATTAGAGAAGTCCTCGGATGATATGAGAAAGAAGGACTACTTCTAGATAGAGGAAAAAATATCAGACGTGTGTGTTAAAGGAAGGTCTATTGATTAAAAGAGCATACATTCAGGGCTCGACAGTGACTTTTTCCTCCCCAAAACGATACATTTTAAGTCTGCGTAATGAATTTTAATGGCTTTCTGTTATTTAAATTTAAATGAAGCGTTTTGCTTTTTCAATTCTCTAGACTAATAAATATCCAGAAATATCCCATTAAGATACTGTAAAATATGAATGATTCTATAAATTTGTACAGGTAGGAGAACTGTGGAACCCTGAAACTGCAAGAAGAAATGCAGAAAGTTTACTAAATGTTATGCAGCTAGTTATGCAGTGTTTAATGGCATGGCAGGAAAAACAGACAGAAGAAAAGGGCATAAAAATAAAGCAAGCAGCACCAGAGTCTTTTTTTTTTTTTTTAAAGAAGTGGCTTTTATTCCACAACTTAAATCTCTACTGTGGCAGATTGCACGCTTTAAAGTTGAACCTGAATGACACATACACACACATTTATAGAGAGAAGACAAGGTTTGACAAAGCAGTGATTTATGAGTTATGGAGCTGTTAAAAAGAATGTTCTGCATGGAAGAAAGAAAGCATACAGTCTTACGCAGGAGGATAAAGCAGTGTCAAAAATAAACAAAAAAGAACTCTCACAAATAAGACCTCAATAAACTAATATAATCAGAACTCTCTTACAATCTATGCACTACAATTTAAAAATATTTTCATCCACATCTTTTTTTAGGCACATACTGTATGATTGTTTGTGCAATATGGTCACTTTAAACACAACGAAACTGACAAATTAAAATGTTATGTTATTAAATGGCAGCTGTGATCTGTTACCTGACTAGTACATTTTTAAAAAAAAAAACCTCATCAGCCTATAGAATCACCACAGCAAATTAAACAGGCATTTATTGACATGCTACTCTGCAAGCTCTTGATCTATATTAAAAACACTTAACAGAAATACTCTCTGAGGCCATAATCATCCTCCTGATATCCTTCTATCAGCCTCGCATCCACAGGTGGAAGAGCTGGGAATCTGAGTCCATGACTGGGCAGCGAGCTTATTCTCATCAGAACAGTTCTGTACATTAGGGAGGATCTCGCCCTCTGTGCTCCCAGCATTGTGGGGTGGACTAGGCTTAGTGGTCTTGAACCTGGCTCCTTCTCAGTTACAACTGGACTTTGGCACTGACGATACAGAATGCCTATGAGATTGAAAGAGTGGTGAAGAGAGTGGAGTGACAGGATAGTAAAAGTTAATGAGGTGACAAGGGGCACCCAAACTAGAGGGCTAAAGGTGTGAGGGTTTTGGGGGCAGATATGGCAGCAAAATGGGCAGTTTGACTGGCAGGCGCTGGTCCAGAGGAGAGAGATGGGTGAGGTGTTGCAGTAGAGCAAGAGATGGAGCAGAGGTGGAAGCCAACAGAGGAAAGAGGTGAAGGAGTCGCTGTGGAACTACAGTAGGGCTAGGCTAGGCCAAGACTAGGGTTTAAGCAAGGATAATTCCCAGTGGGCCTTGGGTAATGGTGGCCTAGACTACGCAAAGCTTTCATTACCATTCTCTAGGTTCTCATTGCTCTCGTAGCACCCGGAGTCCCGCGGGGAGTCTCCGACCAGGCCCCGACCCTCAGACAGCAGCTTCTCCTGAGAGCCTGACAGGCCGCTGCGCTCTGGATCGCTGCTGCCTGTGAATACAAAGACACACAGAAAATAGGTACATTATCAACATTAGGTTAATTTAGTTATTAGATAGCAGTAGAGTGGAGTGCCCCTTACTGTGCCTTTGAAATGATTTGGTTTTGTAGAAATTTAGTTAAGTTTATTTTAAGAGTATTTGGAAAAAAACGCAGCACCTGATCCACTTGTCTCACTTATGTACTTCAGTACCTAAGAATGACAACTGCATGCTGAAGTTTAGAATAGTCTCAAGTACGTCCTAGGTGCTGACTAATATTTTTTCCAGGAAAAGAGTAGATTTCGGTGAGAATTCCCAGTAAACACCAGGATCTTAATTCCAGGTCTTCGGTCATCAAAATGAATATTATTTATCTTTAATGCAGCGAGTGAGTTTGAGTGAGTTAAAATCATCATGTATATGTGTCTTCTGAGTCTACTTACTGTCGTACTCCTGTAACAGCTCTACAGCGGTGAGCAGTACAGCTCTGTGCTGAGGATCTCTGATGTTCAGCTCATCCAGGTCCTCCTCTTCCAGCAACTTGAACGTGTCCAGGTCCTCGTAGCCGTTGAACAAGAAAGTAGGCATGTGTTCCTGCATGACAGAAAACATCACGTCTGAGTTTAGAGTTTCTTTTGAGGAGTTAAGAATGAGATACACTGAGGTAGGGTAAGGAGAAAAGAGTAAGGTACACACGTCTCTGCTCATAATTTCCCATCCACACAGTGTATTTTTAAACTACTGGAGAGCCAAATCTAAAATGCTATTTAGATTTTTAGATGGCATGTAATCACTTTAAGCCGTGGCTAATTCAGTTATGGCTGCCTCAACTGTCAACACGCTTTAATACGGCACAAACTTTGTCATGTTGACAGGCATATAAAAGTGAGTTGTAGCAACGTTAGCGAGTTAGCTGCACCAATCAAGTAAGAGCGGTGCAGTGCATGGCCACAATCCCGAAAGCTATTCTAGCTGTGACCAAAATGGCAAACGGGACTTGAAAGGGAAACCCGCCAACGTAATGTGGAAACACGAAGAACCGAAGGTGGAGACGATTACATCAAAGTGCTCTTCAACCACAGTCAACACAGTTTTACACACCAACACAAACAAAACCAAGGCTCGTCACCCAAACCACTGTGTTATCTGAGAGGGTACGGTCATAGAGAAAAAATCAGAATACGCCCTGTGTGAGTGCACAGTCAGCTGACACCATCATTCAACACACTCATAACTCCTTCCACTTTGAATATTGCTGGGCTCTACGTTTGTGTGACCCACACACTTTGTTGGGAGAATACATAGACTGTGTGTCACCAGCGAGACCATCAATTACAATGGTGGAGTCCACAGCGGAGAACTGTGTGTCTCCGTTCTATTTCTGCTGGGTGATGCAGGACTAAACAAAAGGACCACCAACTAACACAAACACAGGCAGCCGGGTCCACTCACTCACAGTATCTTTTGTCTTTTTGGCCACTCGAAAACTCAAACACGTTTCAAAATCCAAAGATTTTTTTGGCAGAGAATTCATCGACCCAGAAGTTACAAGGGTGTGGAGATTTACACGGTTACAGACAGGGAATGTTGATGTGTGTTCCAAATTTTGCCTCGCCAGTTTAGCCAAATGTTACTTTCTATTTCTAAAAGTACAAACCAACAACGCACTCAGTCTTTGATGTATGACAGCTGAATCATAACTCATACTGTATTTGAATAGTATATGGATCCTAACCATTTCTGTGAACATGGTCACTTCAAACGACAAAAACCTGAGAAAAGGAAATGTGACACAAGTGTGAAAACTTGTGAAAACAAGTGACGCACTCTTGCAGTAAAACTTTTGCAAACGTATCACTACAAAAAAATCCCCTTCTACCAACAAGTAAAAAATTGTGTCATCTAGAGAAAAAAGCCAATGCCAAAAATGACTCATATGAACCTAACACAAAAATCTGGCTGCTGCAAAAAACTTCCTGATCATAAAAGACAATAAAGCACTGAAAATAAAGACAAAGGCTCTTAAAACTAGATTATTTATTTTTTACTCCAGCCTAAATTTATTTGCTGTAATGTTTATGAACAGTAAAGACCACTAATGTTGACACAAGTTGAATAACTGGATGCAAATGGTGCTTGACACAATCATGTTGGATAAGAAAACTGTGGGCCTGGAATTCATTTTTACTTTTTCCATCATCAGCAGGCCACAAATCGAGGTAAGAGTGGTTAAAATACCTGGTAAGACAATACACATTGACTACAAACTCTAAAATGTTTTATATGTGTTTAGTCTAACCTGCCCACTGCAGGAAGTCGGTGGTGACTAAGGGGACCCGAGTGCTATGATGCAGTTGTAACACCCAGACTCACAGCTTATGACGCCTGTGCTGTAACATTAATAATGTACTCCAGATCTTTAATCTGTGACTTGGCCATTAGGCTGGCCAGAGATAAAACAGACAACCCACAAAGTCTTTTTCTCTATTCGGGGAGGTGAGGCTTGCTGGCTGCATGAGTGGGAGGAGATTATTTCAAGCTCACAGCTATGTGTAGGTTTTGATGAAAGATGCAAGTTATTTTTTGGGGCGTGGCAGTGAGAATGTGGGTGTTAATGTTTATGCGTCAGTGTCAGATCAAACATCCTAAGCTGTGCGGGCTGTAATTACCTACACTATATTTATCTTTGCTTGTCTGCAAATGCGTTTTGAAGATACTTGGCTAAAAACAATATTTTGATTTACTTGTTAAGTTTTGTTTTCTCCAATTAAGGTGCCAGATGGGTGGGGTTTTTCAGCTCGGACAATTCGCTGATTTCTGCAAAGTTCATACAGTAGACAAAATCAGTGTCTGTAAATCTACTAAACTTTACTGCTACTGAAAACTTAAAAGACACTTTGTGAGTTGACCAAAATCTGTGAATCCAACAATATGGCAATACTGTACCCAATCTGGCACTCTTGCTTATCTACCTTGAGGTTGATGCGCTCTAGCAGCTCCTCAACTGATGTGGGTTTAGGTGGTCGGCCCTTCCTCCTTCTCCTCACTGGCCTTTTGGGCTTCTCCTCTTCTTCACTCAGCACGTCCACATAGATGAACTTGAAGGTGCCCACTTTGTTGTTCAGCAGGCCCATCCACGTTCCCATGGGTGGCTTACTGATGATGTCAATCACATCACCGCGCTGGAAAATCACAATGACAAGATTTCAGAAACTGTTGCATTTCAAATTTTAACCAGATAGTTGGTCAAAAATATTGAGACTAGTGTGGAAAAACTGAACCGTTAAAAGTAAAATCTTTCATTATATCCATGAACTGTAATCACTTCCATGCCAAAGTGTGTTTTACCTTCAGTTTGAGGGAGTCTGTGTCGTAGGGGCTGGGGGTGAAGTCTGTATGGACGCGAGCGCGTCCACAGAACGGCCCCCGATAAGGCGGCTCTTCGTCATCACCATCCTCCGACTTCACACTTTCTCTGTTACTGGCTGACGAGTCTGTGGTGCTCACTGTCTGACCACCTGGACACAAACGCACACAGAAGGAGATTTATAGGAGCTATAAAATGACTGCCTATAAAGCCTTCACTGGTCACTTGTTACAAAATGATGGCATTTGACTGGAGCTTTCCTTTACACTATACAATGCAGTAAATCCTGACTTAAGTTGTCATCTTCATAGTCAACCTATAATAGCTTGCATTTATCAAGTTACAAGGTTACATGTGAACACTATATTTATTTTATTTTGTCAGCTTCTTTTTCAACATTTTTGTGTCTGCTGTGAGTGGAAATCTTTAACAAGGTCTTCACTTGTATTACAGATCCTGGGAGAAGTTGCGTATTTCTTTTCTTTTCTTTCTTTCTGCATCTGAGGGAAGGCTGTTGAAATCATGTAGACGTGTGGGAATCGGAGAGGCAAGACTTCCTACCTAATCATTACCGCATGTTTGCTTGTCTGCCTGCAAGTCTGTGTGCATGTTCTACGGCTTTGAATCACTGTAAGACGGCCAAGTACTCTTGGAGGGTATTTTATCCACAGAGACGTGAGGGAAACAACAGGTTGAAGTAATCAGGAGGTGTAATTAGATAAGATGACCAAAGAGCTCAAAACGCACTTGAAAATTCTGTGAGATCACAGCACATAAGGCAACTGGTGGGACCGGGGGTAATCGAGGGAGAGAATTGCTGTTCATCACTCCACAAAAATCATAATTGGTATACATGTAACGCCAGAAGCAGAAGTCAGGCAGCAAAAATCAAATGTTAGGAGCACCATCTAGTGTTAAACATTGCCCAAAACAGGCTATCAACGTAAGGTGTAAACTAAATTACAGATATTTAGATTGCTTTTACTTACATACAATATTTTACATATATACAACATAAAGGTCCATTTAAAATTATCAGTCTTAAAAAAACAGTTTTTCTAAAACTTACTCATTGAACTCTGTCCGCTGAGTGAACTACGCAGACTTTCCACTGATCCTCCGGCCTTAAGCTTCGGCTTCTCCAGAGAGTCGGTGTCAGGCTGAGGGGACTGAGGGGAGCCAGGGGCTCCATCCGGACTGGACTAAAAGACAGAAAGAGAGGGGGAGGATCCAGATGGGTAATGAAAGGACATGGGAGGAAGATACAAAGGAAATGTCGTGCAGTTAAGAGATGAGAGGATGTGAAAGGGGGGAAAGTGTGGTTAAGAGGTCGACATAAGGGGGTAACGATGGAAACAAAGAAGAAATGAAGATTAAAGGTGAAGAGGGTGGAAAAAGAATAGGAGAGTGGGGGGGGGGGGATAAGGGTTGTCAGTATTTTTTCATCTTTACTGAAAAACAGGTGCACATATAAAGGTTTTCAGCATAAATGTGATTAAGTTATTAGTCAACAATTTACCAAAAGATTTTTGATGATTTGTTTTTCCATTTAAAGACCTTATAAATCTTCCTGAAAAACAGTACATCTTAAGTGACCTCAAGCTGCAGTGGTAGGGGCAACAAAAATGTCCCGCAATAATGTCATTATAAATCACAAGACTTTATTTTCTGCCTGTCCTTTCAGCTATAAGTGTTGGTTTACACTAGATGCCTCACTCTGAACAATTTATTTCAACAGGAAGTGCATCAAATTATGGATGCCTCCATGGAAGGTAACCCATGGCATTTGTACAGGTTCATTCTAAGTTAACGAAAACACAGTGATTCCTATATTCAGGTGATTATACACTATGAATACCTATGAATATGATATACAACAACATACACCATGCACCATGATGCATCAACACCTTGTATTTTATTTGTCCACTAGGTGGCATTGTGGTCTATAAAATGGCCATGCTTGAGGCATCAAGACATGGCAATTAATTTTTCTTTGCTCTCCTGCAACCAATGGCTTCATGACTCATGCCAAGATATGTGGGTCACCGTGTTGAGACCACCATGACAGACAGATGTTAGACTGTGCATTAATGGCACATTCTGCAAGGCAACATCAAACTGCAGGGCTGGACAGGCCACACAGTAAATCCACTGAATGCCCCAAAAAATTAGGCCATAGCAGATGAGACAGCCATTATACTCCCTCACACTTTAAGTCTCCATTTCCTAAGAGCTAGCCTGGGGGAGACTTGCATCACTTCATGAGCTCAGCATGAAGCACACACTCCACCCTACACACGGAGACCAGGGAGAGCAGAGTGGAGAGAAATCCAAATGTGTGTGTGTTTTAGTGCACTGTGTTTATTCTGTAACTAACACAAATACTCCCACCCACTTACAGCCTGTGGACAGAATATGTGGCTTATACTACAAAACATCCTCTAAATGTTTGCAGAACACAGGGAGCTTTTCTTTCTTTACAACTGCACTTGGCTCACTGTTTTAAGGACTAAAAGCATAATGTGTGGATTTGTGGGACCGTTTGTTTTTCATTTTAAATAAAGTTAAGGCTTGACTATGTTTATACACGCCTCGTTTGCGTGAAAAAAAGGGAAACCTAAGAAGTGTTCAATGTTATCTGAACTTTCTCCAAATAATTCAAAAATTGCATCCACATGTATTTGTGTGTATTCAAGTGTGTTTGTATCTAACCTGCTCAGACAAGGAGCTGCTGTACTTCTTCGACATACGTTTCCTCATCGTCTCCTTGACCGACTTGACCTTCTTGCCCAGTGAGATCCGAGACGTAGTGGGGGATTTGACCACTTCTCGGTATATAGCCTCCTGTTCTTTATTCTGTGATTAGAAGAAGGAAAGGGAGAACAGAAAGGGCCAGGCAAAGAGTAAGGAGGTGACAGAAAGAAGCAAAAGACAGATGAGGAGAGATGGGGACGAATCAGGAGAAGACAAAGGGCAGGGAGGTCACAAAAACAAAAGGAAAAAACAGAAGAGAAAAAGTGATTTAGTGTGACAGGAGAGTGCGGGTTGTGCACCTCACAGCCTCTTCTGATTTTACAAGCTGCCAGCACTTACGTTGGCCTCCGAGCCGGTGTTGACCACATGGAGCGAACGGTTGGACAGGTCAAAGCCTCCAAAGCTGCATGTTCTCTGTTGGGGAGCCAAAACACAATCAAATAAGTCACATTCAGAAGGTCACGTTACAGAAACTTCCCATCCACACCCACTGAGGGTCAACTCACAATGATTCATGCTTGGCGCAACACAGGCAGTAGTTTGATTAATGTACATGGGTATATGGTTTGTATATATATATATGCGGGGGCATGATGTCATATGGGACTGTGGACAGCCAACAGACATGATGTAACACAAACTGTTATATGAGCTCCTCTTTAAAATTGCGAGTTACTGCACGGTCCTTGGCAAATGAGCTGTTATATTGAGCGTGGAGAGCACGCAACGAGTTCCTCATATGCTTTAGAACTCAAATCCCCGGAAGAAATATGGAATTTAATTAAGGCTTTCTTGATGTGGCCAAGCTAAAACACATAACTGTACAAGTTAACGTATATTTGTTGCATTTCAGCCTGATGCAAAATGTCTTGTGGTTAATTATGAGAAATGCAAAACTGGGCTTAGTATGCCAACATGCACAACATAAAGGTTGGTTGCTTAGGGCCGACAGTATGTTAGTCTCATCAGAAACATTTTTAGAGAGAGAGTAAATTGTTTCTGCTGAGAGGACAGGGTGATATGGATTTTTTTCTTGACTTTAGAGGACAGCAAGATAAGGGGTAGACACAAAGGGGAACTATGACATGAGAGGAATAAGAGATCTAGGATCTTATCACTGAACTGGCTTTGACTTTTTGAATCCAACCTGAGCTTTGCAGTAGGTCACACAAAAACATGTAGACACAGTCATGCACGTATGCATCTGCCAAAAAAAAACTCTCAATTCAAGTGGGGCACTTGATGGCATTTCTCCTTTGCTTCAAAAGCCATTACTTCTAAACTACTCCCGCAAATCCTAGACGAAGATCCTCAGTGTGAGAAGGCATTGCTCATTAAGAACATAGCTTTAATATTAGATGTCCACAGCTGCAGTCCACATCACAACTTCCCAGGAAAAGCATAGCTTGGAGAACAAACACGTTTAAAGAGACGTCCAAAAACAACTCTGAATGTCATGGCAATGTTCGATGGAATGGACATGCACCCAGAAAAAAATGTCTCTCAAAGATAATTATAGGAAAGAAAAACAACTAAAGAAAAAAAAAAAATCACATCTGCAACTATAGAGGCACGGGCCAAAAAAGAACACGAAAAGCAACAACAGAAAAAGTGGAGTCAACGAGTCTTTGGATGAGAACGACCTCCAGTGACTTCACCAGAACACGATAGGATTCAGGTACCCTCAAAGCTGCAGGATAGCTCCACTATATCACCACCTCGTATGTGCCACTACTTCTGCTGATACACACAGGCTATTTGGATACATATTTGGATACATGTTTGGAATAAGTGAGTTATTTGCAACACAACCAGGGTTTTCATCCTGGTTGACATTACAAAGTTATGGACCTGCATTTTACATTCACTGTAATATGAATCAGTATTAGATGTAGTTTACCCATTTTCCTGTTGTTTTCACTTTTTGTTGCTATACTCTTAGATCAAAGATCAAATTAAAAGTGTAAAGACCATTCGGTCCCTTAAGTTAACTTAATAAAGCCATTCATTGAATATGCCTCTGAGGCTACGTTCTAGAGTTCTAAAGATGAGCAGTTTCAAGCTTGTACAACATCTTTTACCCACAGGGATCAGTGTGACTGTGCATGTGTGCATGTCCTTCAGGGGTCTGACATTTATAAAAAGGCACAAATCTCTGCTGTAACTTAACCTCCCAAGTGGGCCACCGCACATTCCATAATCATTTCATATTCAGCTGAAATAAAGGTTTAAAGCCAAAGGGATTCACTTAAAGGTCATAGAAGATGACATTCCTCTGGGGCAGTTAGTTCTGTGATATATACACCAGCCCATAGCCTTTTTCTACTCATGAGCACAGCTGCAATACTTTGATGTGGATTTCTTACACAGACAATATTAAACGGATAAGTTTAAGTAATTTGAACTGGCATGTGTCTTGTTTGTGTATGTGTGCTGCACCTTCACCTATAACCTCTGAGCTATTCTGCAACTTTGAAGCACCGAGTCCTGCTCACACGAGGCGGTCGATTTAAACCTCATGGTCTAAACTCACAGACTTCTGTTGGATGCGCAAGAGTACCCGCTTGGTGCAGCGGTCCACACTGGCCGCCCACTTCCTGTCCGCCTCGCGGTCCTCCTCCAACAGACAGCGGCGCTCAGCGCGGCTGAGGGTAACTGGGCGGACCAGCTGGGCCCAGTTGAGGTGACCGTACAGGCTCCGTTCTACCACATAGGTGATGTTCAGCTCACTGACTGCCGTTCGACCACGCAGCCTGCGGGAGGGGAACACCCAGCCTCCTCCCCCGCTTCCAAAACCTTTTGATTTGGCTACATCACATCGAGCAGGGGAGGTGGGGGTGACAGACAGAGGGGAGACAGGGGTCTTGGCATTGCGCGAGCGTTGATACAGTAGGTGCTTAGTGGAGTAAGCATAGTTGGGGTCAGGTTTCCGGTGCGTCCAGCTGCCATGGTGCCGGTTGGCAGGTTGGTGTTTGGGGCTGCCTTGTGGACCGTCATCCAGGGATATCAGGAGGCGGGACTGGGCATGGGGTTTGGGGCGAGGTTTGGTGAGGCCATAGTAGGCGTAGAGAGCTTCATTGTTACTTACCCCATGGGAGATGGAGCTCAGCGCCTTCCGCATCTCGCCGTCGGTCGTGGAGCGTGACAGCTTTCCTTCGTCGTCCAATCCACAGCCATCCAGCTCTGAGAAGGAAGAGCCACTACCTCCAATGCCGGAGATGGAGCCTCCCAGGCCCCCGGAGCTAACTGGTGTTCTCCTGGGGGGCCGGATGAGGCCGTGGGTACTAGAAGACTTGCTGAAGGTTTTGACCAGCTTGTGCCCGGACCAGGTGTCCAGGCTGCTGGAGGAAGGGGAGTTGGTCAGACTGTCTGTGTCTCCATCCAAAGAGAGTTGATCCTGGGTGAGGGAGGGAAGGGAGATCTCCTGGGGCAAAGGGGGCTTCTTTAGGACCCCTGTATACAGAGCTGTGTTGTCCTCACAGGTGGGAGGTGCCTCCAGATTCAGAAAGTCTAAAGAAAAAGAAGACGACGACTAAAAAATTAGTTACTCAAGAGGATTTAGACATTTGAGGCTGTGTAGTCCCGTGACCCATCTGTGGTTTTCCAAACCACAGCTAGCTAGCAAAATTTTCAAAACACATTCTTAAAGTCTGAGTATTGGGCAAAACCCATGACAGACAATGTAAAACTTTGGCAAACAAACAAAACAAAAAACAAGACTCATTAATTCCCACTAACCCTCATTTGGAAGCACACATTTAACTATAAACTTTAACTTCATTTTAGTAAGGACAAACACCTCAATTTAGTGCTCAACACAGATATTCAACATAACAACTGTCACAAGTACTGCGAGCAGAGTTTACATTCATATCCAGTGGAAGTATAATGCCTTTGGATTTAAATTATGTTGAACTGTAAGTTAAACAAAGGAACTCAGGTAAAACAAACCTTCAGAGCCATGTTTCTTGCCCTCCTCCACCTTGATGAGTTTTTTCCTGACCCGGCGTGTAGAATTAACCAACTTGTGAAGTCGTTTGAACTTCACAGAGTCCTCTGATTGCTCATCGTCTGACTGTTCACGAGACTGGTGGGAAAGAGAAAGAGGGAGGGATGATATAATAAAGGGAGGGACAGACAGTCAAACACTTTCCAATTAAAAAAACATAGGTAATAGCATTTAATCAATCCAGGTGTAACAGAAATACATGGTTTTGTTTTGAATTTATTTAATATAAAAAGTATTGAGAGAATCAAACACAAACTTTGACATGTATTTTGAGATTGAGATGCTGTTACAGTGCGACAGATGGGAGCATTGCTTAGGATAGAGTCAAAGTTAGTGAGGTGAGAAATGGAAGATGGTGGCACGCCGCATTGTATGAAGTTTATATTCATAGTAAACACAGAAAAAATGCTCTCAAATAATGAACCAGATGACAGTAATTTGAAAAAAAATGGGTACAACAGAATGGCACAATGAATCAGTATGACAAAAAATGGTCCATTTGGCATTATGTTTACTACAGAGAAAATGGAAGGACACTGGTTTTATGTTATGGGTATAAACATCCTCGTATTTTCTCTCCATAGATGGCCACTGCATTTAAACCCTCTGCACAAAGTAGTGGATTGGAAAAAAGACAGAATAATAAAGTCACAAACAGTTTCATCACACACACACCCCTCCTCAATTGGAGCACACACAAACACACAAAAACTCTCCAAGCTTGTATGTGTGTGCACACGTGTGTGTGTGTAGTCTCGCTGTTGCCTCCATGTGATGATGGTGATGTTGATGAGCAGAGCTTTGGCCTAAAGATTGTCTGGCAGGATTATCATGGGAGCTCAAACAACCTAATTTGTTTCTATTTGCCACTGGTTTCCACAGCAACACCACCTCTCTGGTCACATACTGGCAGTTCCACGGTCGAGGTTGACTGCATCACTTGGAAAGGGACACACATGCATGCACAAATGCTCACATAGACAAAACTAGACAGAACAGGCCTGCAGGGCTCAGCTCTCTGTCTGATAAAATGTCTTCACCTTCAACTCTAAAGCTAACAGAGAAGAAATCACTTTCTCGCTGTTGTCGAGTTTAGACCACAGGTCTGGCTCAGAGGCTACTGGCATACATTAGGGATGATGTTAACAACTGCATGCTTGCAAGTGTTACAAAACCTTACAAATCATTGCCAAGTTGGAAAAGGAAACAACACATTAATCAATGAGGCATCGTGCAAGTGCATTCTATCAAACTTTCCTCCCTTTGCCTCCACTTCAACATTTTTAGAGGTACGTGATCAACTATTTAGGTCTTCTGTTATCAGCCCAGCAGACCGGAGCCAGGACATAGCCATTCTTTAGGCCTCTCACAATCTGCAGAAATGGGTTCTGAAAACCCATAACTGCAATGTCCCTCAGCCCAATTCTCCTTGACAATCCCACAACTGAACCACACAATTCTGGCCACAGTGGTGACTCCTTCAACTTTCCATTTGCTCTGGACCGTGCTTGAGTGTATTAGCTTTAGAGAATGTAATGTAATAACAAGTCTGTGTCAGAGAGGACTGATAAAAGAGGTAGCAGAAAGACTGAGATGAATGAGACCACCAGAGGTTGGATTGGAGTCCACTCCTGTATCTTGGTTCCTCTTAATAACTATTATTGAGAAGTGTAAAGAAACAGAATGTCTCATACGGAGTCACTTTCATGACTCTGATATGTGAGGATAACTATGTGCAGCACAACTGTCTTAGTAATCTCAGTTAGCCCACAAGATTTGTTCTTGTCCTTTTGTGACCGACCGAGAAAAGGAGTAAGAGAATGTAAAGAGGTGACAATGATATACAAGTCCTAACCCAGTCCAGAGGAACACCATCCATGCAAATGACCAGATAAACAGGGGATAAGATACACACAGAGAAAGAAAGCCAAACATAGGAGGCGATGAATCAAGCAGGGCTGAAAGGCCTGAATCGAAAACAGAGTCAAAACAACAATTCCATCACCATAATTGCTTTGCTTCACAAATTACTTTGAGGGTCATTCCCATAACTTTAGAGATGCAGTTAAACTTAGAAACCTCCAAACCAACATCCCTGTGGTGCACACCAAGATCTTTCTGTCATCCTACCACAAAAACAGAACGGGACAATCATATAAGAAACAATCTAACTCAAACAGTTAAGAGCACCAATGTGCCTTAAAACTTACCACCTCATTTAAAACGGCAGTGTACAGCTTTCTGTGTCAACATCCAACCAGTTAGCAAGAGTGGGTCCCGCAAAACTGCAGTGGAGAGACCACATTCTCACGCATGCATGATCCAAAATAATATCTGTGCTCCCTGTGCACATGCTGGCAGATACAGATGCAGCCTGTTAGTGAATTCAGCTCTGGAGGAATGAGGGACAGTTTGGAAGTGCCGTGCCGCACAGCTAGTAGAGAAAAGGCGTGTTGTGCATGGAGAACAATCCCAGCATTTGAGCCCCTCTGACCCTGCCTTGGCCCCCACATCACTAATGGCCAGCCCTGGAATGTGGCCTCCAATCGCCAGAGGAAGACAGACCAGAGAGAGACCGCATCAGAGAAAGGCACAGAGCAGCCAAAGATTATGTATTGCAAACATGTCAGCGACAAGCATGTACTGTATATTCACATACCCGTATATAGAACACAGGCGCACAGACACACGCAAAACAGTTAACTATTTGAATTTGGGAATGACCTAATTCTATTCATTAAAGGGGACAGGGGGCAGTGCATGACACCAATAGAGGCCCCAGCAGAGTAGCAGGATTTCCTGAAGAAGCCAATTTTGGAACTCGGGGCAAGGGGAGATACAGAACTCCCCCTTTTTCACGGCCTGGGGGCAAGTGCGACGTCTTTATCTTCCCTATTTTTCTCTCCCTTGTTTCCTCTCTGCCTCCAGCTCTTGCGTTTGTTCACAGCCTCCAGAGCCAAGTTGTGTGTTCCCCTGAACAATACTCCTTCAGTAACCCTTCCATCCTCTCCCCTGTAACCCCCCCCCCGCCGCCAGGAAGCGAGCAGCTGCCAGCAGAGGGGTAATGTGAGGGTTAACAGACTGATAAGACGATCAGCAACCTCATGCACAGTTCACACAACCACATCAAACAGCCGGACAGCAGACAGAACTTGAGCTAAGGTTGAATGTGGAAAAGTCCAGAACAGTAATAATACGCATGTGTGTTGAATTATTTTGAGAGGACTTGGAATTTTGTAATATTTGGATAAACTCACTTCCTGCAAAAAAAAAAGTGGGTCAGAGACTGTATGACTGCATGCAATTCCCATATAATGCCATACAGTACAAAACTAATGAAAAGCTGACTCCTATAAGTTGCTGCATCAGAGCTGACCTACATTTTTTCTTATTATTATTCTTATTTTTAACATATGCAACATACACACACAACAGAAAGAACTGATTGATAGTCAACAAACACTAAACTGCATCCAACAGAGCCTGATTGTCTGAGTTCCAGCTCCACAACACCTTACAAAGAATCCTCAAAGGTCTCGAGGTTTGGAGGCCTCCTCTCTGTGGATCACAGCTGACAAAATCACTGCCAACAAAAGCTCACGCCGCAAGGGATTTTAGGGTATTTTGTGTGACTCTCCGCTTGGCTTTCTGCAAGTTACAATTACAACTGATTGGTGGAAACAGACCCAACCTAAATTTCCATAAGACAATTTCCTTGTCACTACCGCTGCCAATTTTGACTATTTTGAGGACATATCTCAAATGAGATGCCTATGACAGGACTGACTTGATAAATAAAATGTGGAAGAGGACCAACATATTGCATTTATCTTATTGGGACAGCCAATTTATGAGCGAGGCCACAGAAAGCCGAGGTAAGCAATGGGCCAAGATTCACAGAAGTAACACCCAGATAAGATGCACATGACATGGTGGAGAGAATGTATGTGCAAAGGCCAATATATTGTAGTTCAGCCAATGAACAGAGAGAGAAGGGGAGAGAAAGGAAGAGAAAAGAAAGAGAAAAGTTGAACAAAAGTGCTGTATGCAATGGCATATACAACTGTCCAAAATTTTAAATATTTCAATCATATTTAAAAAGATGGATTGTATCTAAAGTCTATACATCAAGCTACACAGTTGTTTACATCTGAATAAACACACACATCCACGCACACATATGCTGAAACAACAACGGCCGTCCTCCTTCACAACCACGTTGGCTGAAAAATCAAACTTAAAGGTGAGAGTGGTCCAGGGGAGAGTGTTAAGAGAAGCAAACGAGGGAGAGGTCAGGGTTTTGGGGGGGTGACGGGGGAAATGGGGGTGGGGTGTACTTACGTTGCAGTTTGAGGACTGGTTTAGATTGGTTGCGGATCCGTCAGTCCACTCTGCAGTGTCAGTACTGCTGGACTGTCTGCTGCGCTCATACTCCTTCAGCTACGTGGAAAAGAAGAGTTTAGAGAGGCAGAGGAACAGGACAGGGCCACCCACTCTCACCGAGCATGCTACATCTCTCCATACACTATCAGACGATTGATGTACGTCAATCGTGTGCATTCACAGTGCATGTATACAGACAGACAGGCGCACAGACAGACAGATCATAAGGACTCAACCAGTGATGTAGTGGTAAACAAAAAGTGCAAACTGTAACCTGAGTTTGGTGATGTTCGTGCAAACCACCATTAATTAAAGCATACATATATTTATGTCCCTATGCTACTGCAAATTGTCTTTTTCATGTATGTGGTATGACTTTTAGTCATGAAGATTTATGTCTGCCTTCATGAGCAGCCATAAATCTTACAGAATAAATAAGAAAAAGGAGATTTAAAGGCGGACTGAATACCATTACGTTTATATTTTATTCCACTACATCCCTGGACACATACTACATACCACTACACTGACTGATACAACACACTCAATAAAGACACAGAAACACAACAAGAAGTCAAATCAACTATCCACAAAGGCTGAACATTGATTGGTTTAACAGAGTTCCAATCACTAGATAGGCTGGAATCAAGCTATTGGCCAAAAGAAAATCAAAGTTCTGGAGGAAAAAAAGGGGTAAGAGGATAATTATTCAGCCTTGTGGAGAGCAATCCAGTGCTCAAATGCTGCTGGACAGTCATGCTACCCATGAGCAAGGCATCACAGAAAGTGATTGACAGGAAGGAGGGAGGGAAGAAGAAATAAAAAAAAGAAAGAACAATCGCCAGAAATTGATTGAAAAGAAAAGGAAAGGAAAGCCAAGTAATTATCCACCATGTCCACCTAGAAAGAAAAACCACAATGCACCAGAGCATCCCCCCCAACAGATGGGGCTATTGAGTTACTATGACCATCAATCCAGCAATTATGAACTGAACAACACACCCACACACACTCCATAAGCTCACACCCTAAAATCCCCAGACTCCTGAACCTCTGAAAGCACCAATTGCCTGGAGTTTGTGTGTGTGTGGGTAGAGGACGATGCAGGGTTAAAATGCGGGGCCTCGTACAGGTTAGTAAGAGTCAGTCGTTTTAGTAAGCCAGAATTGTGGTGGGAACGTAAAGCAGAAGGGGGGGGCTGGAAACGTCTTGGGGGAGGGGGTCAGGTGATCTGGGGGCCAAGGGAGGCTACAACTGGGAATCCTAAGGGAAAGGGTCAAGTGAGGGTGGGGAGGAAGGTACAACAGGTGAGGCAGGGAGTCAGTTGAGCTTCCTACCCGAGCTAGAGCTTCTTCAACGGTGATCATCTTCTCCTTCACCATCATCATTAGTTGGATTCGCTCTTCATCGCTCATGGTGATCTCACTGGCCACGTAGCCTATGTCTTCTCCTGAAGGGTGCAGAGGGAAAAGCACACATCACATATCTCCACATGTGGAGCAACGCCTATTCAGCATAGCAAATCTGAGAAATAAAGCTGCACCAACCTTTAGATGTCTGTCGCATGACTGGTTTGTGCTGAGACTTGCGGAAGTTCTGCCAGAAAGATTTGTTCTTCTTCTTATTGTCCCATTTACCTAAAGAAAGGGCAGGTTCAGCAAGATTAGCATTATATTATATGGTTTCTGGCCACATAAAAGCAAACACAAAATGACTCTACTAACTTTATTTAGTATAGAATATATAAGTATGACCCTTATGCAAACATGTGTGTCCGGCTATTTCCACCTTTCAATCTCTCCCCAGAGATCAATAAATGTTAAGCTTAATATTATAGGAAACGTATTAAGACAGTAGAAGATAAACATGAAAATGCATCTCAATTTACCTCCAGATCCATCTTCAGAGCTGGATTTGTGCAAGGGCATTCTGTGGGGTTAGAGAGTAAAGAAAGAAAAAGAAAAATCACACCTTATCATAAAGTCTGGAATCTCTGTCAACTACAGTGCTTCAAAATCCTTTATTTATGAATCTTTGGCAAGGGAGAGCTGCAGTTCTGTCTGTTCACCACTTGGGGTCAGTGTTGGTATTTAAGTGACAGCAAACCAGGTTCCTGAGGCATAAAAGGGAGATGGTGGAGGAGAGAAGAGAGGAGAGAAGAGGACATAGACAACCATGTTGGAAAAAACAAAAGGGTCAGATGAAGATGATGGTAATACAAAGTGTTTAAGAAGCAGTAAAGTAAGGAGGAAGGTCAACAAGATGAAGAAAAAGAGAGGGCGGCCATGGGAAAGTGAAGAGCGACACTATGAAATTGAGGAGGAGGTGATCAGAGAGAGAGACAAGGGGAGGAGGAGGAGGAGGAGGAGAAACCACAGGGCAGACTCAGCCTGTTTGTGTTTCCACTTCCCTCCACAGGATAGACAGTCACGAGGAAGACAGAGGGAAGAGAGGGAGAAGAAGGAGAGAGTGCACAAGAGAGGGAGAGATGGAAAATAACTGAGTCCTGACATGTCTGTAAACCTTCCTAAATAATCAGACCTAACAGGGAGAAAATAACAGCTCCACAGCTCCTTGTGACACATGAACTGCACTCAGCTTCCAATCAAAAAGTCATATATGAGCAGCCTCACTCAATTTTCTGGCGAGTTCAGCAGCATGTAAGGCCGTGTGACTCTCCCTTGTTCCGGAGGAGCCGAGAGAAACCACATCAACAGCAATCTATTTGTGTCTTCCTTATATAAAAAAAAAGAGACGGGCTTCATGTTCATGTTCAAAGTAGTTGCTGAAACCGTCACAGAAGGAGAGACTTTGTTTTTTAAGGTTGGGTTAAGTGGGCTGAGTAAGAGGGTAAACTGGGAGTGAAGCTTCAGGTTTGGATTATGTGTGTGGATAACGCCCTACAGGTGTGTTTGTGTGTGTGCGAGAGTGATAGTGATCGGTGATTTCGGGGTACTGTAAAGTTTCCAGTTCTTTCAATTAAAAGGGAATAAATCATAGGGGGAAGGTGAAGTAAGGACATATTTGTCCAGTTGAGAGCCTCAGAGACCTTTTAAGTAAATCTCTCTACTAAAGGCATACTTTCTCTCACTTGCACACGTCGACACACCCTTTATGATTGGAGCCCACTGCACATGGGCATGCAGCTGCTGAGGCATGCAGGTAGCTGCCAGAGAAGCAATGTTAAAAATGTGTGACAGGATGAAAACAAGATGAACAGGTCACTTCCCTCTCCAGTGGCTGTATGTGTGTGCCTATGTGTTCATACGTTTGTTCAGACATAAGCCCTCTCCTGGTGCAATGGGAAATCTTCACGCAGCTTAAAGCCCAGCTGCCATGGCAACATAATGAGATGCTAATTGAATGGAGGCCTGTATGGTTTGCCCCTCCGTTCATCCCCCTCTCAGATAGGCTAGGGCCGAAGCTAATGCTAATAGAACTCACTCAATAGAAGCTTTTCTGTGGTGGCGCTGCTCATCCCCCCCACCCCCTCCTCTATGCTCTATAAATTAACCTCCTGTGCAGCGCACACATAAATGCACACACACACACACACACACACACACACACACACACACACAGAATATCTTTCAAAGAATGTGTCAGTCCAGGCATTGTGTGGCTAGGCAACTTAATTGGTTTAACCTTAAATCTTTGGCATGCCTTTCTATTTCAATTCTGTTCTTTTCATTGAGAAAGGGACATCTAACAGCTTTTTACCTCATTAGCATAAGCCAACTCTCCATTTTCTGCATAATATTAAATACAGTATCTTAACTTTGGCTGGACCTACGCAGGATAGGTGAACGCTTCTTTACATGATACGTCTGCACTAAGAAACTGTTACATGTGTTAGAAACAGCCGCTAATGACATTGAAGCTATAAGTGAATTGACAGTTTGCTCAGTGAAAATTACATGTCTGAAAGCGGATTCTCTGGCTGGGCTGTAAAGCATGAATCATTTTCGAAATGATAACCTGCGAAAGCTGTCTATGTTATAGCATGAGACTCCACTTCTGTGTTATAGCTGTAGATGTGTTTAAAACATACGATACTACTACATACAAGCAGATATGGAACAAGAGTAATCTGGCATTTACTAATATGTGGTTAATGCACAATTGTATACACACAGATATGAATTCCACAGAAAACAATAGAAAAAACCCTAGCGTGTGAGTGCCAATTAACATCAGGGAAAAAAAGGATGACATAGGCAACTATCATAGGACACAGTATGAATCACAGGTCTAGCACAGCCTCTATCCTGTGTGACAGAGCTGCTGTCCAGGAAAGATGATAGCCCCGCACATAGCAAGATTTGGACACACAGCTGTGTGTCTCACTGCCAGTTTTTACTGTACTCAGCATAAATCAGCACTGCACCCATTTATGTGTATGGCGATTAAACACCAAGCCACCTGGAACAAGGTGATCTCCGGGGTTCTAGTAGAGACAATGAAAGGCAGCGACCCTGTGCGATGTGGGCAGTGTTCACAGGAAGAGCAAAGGGATAACCTATTCAGGGGTCATGGAATAGGTCAGAGGTCACATGGAGGGGGAAGATGGAAGATCATATGGCAGGAAAACAGAAAATCATGCAGATAAAGCACATGTTTCTGTGCATGCATTTTCATGCCGGACACACACAGTCTGCTGTGCTCCACTCTCAGAAGCAAATAACAGTTCCATGAGGGCTGCAACACTCAGCCAACAAGTGGTAAATATGCTGACAAGGTACTTAAGTTTTCCAACATAGTGCTGTTGTTCTAAACAGATTCTTCACATGGCATGGCTTACATTTCCATCTGATTATTAGTTGCACCAGCTGGACTTCCAGTAGTGTCTACGGAGTCTAAATTTACAATCTTACAAACCTGGTTAGAGGTTATCTTGTGTCTGTGCACATGTATGCTTTCATCAAGATCCATTTGCCTCTGCTGTTAACCCGACTGATAAGCTTGCTGGCCCTTCTCTGCAACAATTCCCACCAATCAATCACCTTTCAAAACAGGAAAGTCCCCAGCTTGAACCCTCCAGCCTTCTAAGAGTGCTCTGTCATCACCACTTGCATACCAGCCATTATGGGAGCTGTGCCCACCTCCTGCCAACAAAGTGACGAGGAGAACCAGAGACAGAGGGGTGGCATGGCCCAAGATGGAGTCTGGGTAATCTCCTCTGGGTGCTATTGTCCTGCACAGAGGTGATGAAGGGGGTATCCGTGTCTGTGCTGGGGAACGTGCATGCCTGCCTCTTGTGAGACTGAGAGGAATGTGTCGTGCGGAACGGAGGGGGTCTGTCTATCACTCTGCTTGCACAAGATAAATTACTACACCTGAAACCCATTCACACCAGTAGAAAGTGGACATTAGGCAATGTAATAGAGAGCAAAGCTAGGGTAACTGAGAGGAGAGGGGTCAGCAGTGAAGGATGGATTACAAAAAGAAAATGTTGAAAATGAGGCTTTGGATGGGGTAAATTTTGTCCTCAAGCATAAAACACCTAAAAATGAGATTAATTATAAAGGTGATATGAAGCTCTTCATATCTAATATTCACACCAGAAATGGAGTTTATGGCTTTGTAGTAAGAGAAATATATAGAAGAAAGAGTGGAAATGACAGAGGTGAAAAGAGGGGTAAATGTGAAACAGTTTCATTAGAGATTGAAGACTCAAGGTAAGACTAAGTCTGAATGTTTATGAGAGAGCACGTGATGGGATGGAGGACAGAAAGAAGCCAGGCTGACAGGAAGAAGAGAGAGAGCACAGTTAGGGGGCTCTTTCTGGGATTCTCTCGAACAGCAGAGAGACGTCATTTAAAATTTGGCATCTGTTTCCCATCATCCCCAGCATTTGTCTGTGCAACATACACAGCCATGGGAGAAAAGATCATGTCTGTGGTATGCACTTCCTTTGCCGCACGTGGTCGTCACGTGAACATGACAATTCCACTGGGGGTCACAAGGGGGTGATGGCAAGGAAGAAACACACAAAATCAGAGAAAACTGTGAAAAAGATTAGATCATTTCTGAGTCACGCTCAGGTTTATTTAACATTTGGCCCCGGCAAACATGGCATTGGGGTTTGACTGGGGCTCCCAAATCCTGCACTAACCTATCCGTTTCCATCTCCACTAAATCTCTTCTTAAAATGTAATGGAGATTTTTCATTTCTCATTACAAATGTTGTAAGGAAACATTTAAATATATTCTTGATGTTTGGTTTCACTTTACAGAGGTCAAATGAATGCCGTGCCTATAGAGGGGGCAAATGTGTGTGACTGCAGTGAATGTAACTCTCTTTGACAGCAGGGCATTTACAGAGCTGTTTTGCCGACCAACCTGTGTAGCTTTAAATGTGTATAACAGTGATCTCATGGCGGGGCCACGGGGGGAGGAATTTCATGCACACAAAATAAAGTGGTGTGAAAAAATGGACACACACACTTCGCGTTACAGGAATCAGTGAAAAGGAACCCCACCCATGCGCGGTTCCATCCTGCTCTTTCGTTCATGCTCCTTTTTCTGTAATCATTTGGCCATCACCCTCTCTGCCTCCCCCTCTCCCCTGCTGGACACAAAGGCAGGAAGGAAGTATGGATGGCCAGAGAACAGAGAGTGGCTGCTGGAGTGAGCAGGTCAGCCGAAGGAAGCAGTTAGTGGTTTTCCTTTTACCACAGAAGGGATATGACCAAGAGGACTCAAAGGACCAACTACATGCATATCTGTGCATGTCAACGGTTGATTTCCTTTATACCCACTGATCTTGATATTAATAAGGTAATGTTTTATTAGTTAGGGATTTATTTCATTATTATAAGCATTTAAATCTTTCTTGACATATTGCTTTCTTGCCTAGAGTTCAGAAGATCGATACTACTCATGTCAGCACGGTAAATATGATGCTACTGTACCGCTAGCAACCTGTTAGCTTAGCTACACAAAATTAAAAAATGACACTGTAATCTGACATTTTGTTGACATGATACCCAGTGAAATAAAATTGTCATCATCTGCACTGCCGCAGCTGAGCCTGTGTCAACTGCTCACTCGCACACCACCACACTTATCCATGAAGTCAGAGTTTTCCACCTGAGGAGCTGACCTCTTCTCCCTATGAGCAAGGTCAGAGAACTTTTGTACAAGCTGTCAGGGGAGAGATCTATCAATTCTATGAGCTGCACATGGAGCCTCTCTCCTTCTTTAGCTGCAGACATGCAGAAGGGCTAAGTGTGATCCATGACTTTGTGTGCAGGCGCGTACAGTTTGATGCGATCCAGACACAGGCTGCACTGCACATTGTTTTGACATGCAACAGACACACATTTCAACCCAAGCATATTTCATGGTTCCACGCTGGCTTCGGTCACATGTTACAGTGATAAAGTGGGACAAAAAAAACATACTTTCTGTCTGTTTCTGGAGTGGAAACTTCACTGCTGAAGCCTAATGATTCCTGTGGACAGAGAGAAGGAGGCAGATGTCAGATTGATTTTAAGCCAAAGATTGTGTGAAAGTGACACTGCAAACCATGTGTTTAGTGCAGTGTTTCTGCCTACCTGGATCTCAGTACGGAGCTGCAGGGATGTGCTGCTTGGGTCCTGTTTCTCCTGAAAAAATGATGAGGGAGAAAGAAGAAAGAAAGTCAAATGTCAGTTTCAAAGATCAACTACTTAATAACACAGGGGTATATAAACAGTGAGCACAATACTAAGAAGACTAGAAAGGTAAAAAAAACTATTTCTGTATATGGACAATGAAGGTGAGTTGACTACAGAAACAGTGGATGGCATGTTTAACAATGCCCTCATGTGGGAAAGACGTCCTTAGGTCAGGTTCATGTAGACACACCTGCTTATGAGTGAAAACAAACACAAGCACGTGCATGCACACCAACTACCCTCCCATAGACAACTCAACAAGTCAAGTCTCGCTTCAGGTACCCAAACCTGCGAAACTTGTTTTGATTGTTACTGAAAACCATTGGGCGGTGGTGTAACAGAGTGATGTCTTGGCTTTCCTGACAGAACAAGACATGACAAAAGCGCCTACGTAACTGGCATGAATTCCAAAGATTTTCAGTGACGTTAGTTTGCGCCTCCCTCAACACAAGGCAACATCTACTGGTTTCAAATCTTTAGAATACAACATATCATATTCTAATAGATGAAATGACAGCACAAAAGGGGAAGCTGGTGTATATGAAAGTCAGATATCTAGACCCAGGCATGCAAGAAACAAATAACTCAAAACTGGAGAATTGCACAATTTTTAGCCTCTCTTCATTTCCACTTTCTGAGCTTCTCCAGCCCACAATGTCTGTCAGGGTTGTTTTCACGATTACACAGGGCTGGTGCTTGTTTATGTCTAAGGCGGGTGTCCTCATCATGGCATATCCAGATACAGATGTGCCTCAAACCAAATGCTTCTACAGACAGACACAGGGCCTGTACAATCACAACAAGTCTGCAACTTAGATTTTAACCTGCAGCATGGGATTATTTAAAGCCAGTGAACGGCCTTGAGGGATTGGTCGAGTGCATCGTTTCTTGGTTGTGTGTTAGGCATGCTTTTGAACTCTCATGGATTAGATTACCCAAGCCCCTGTACTCACACTTGAGCACATTGCTTAAGGGTAGTGACCAGACTTTTAAAATGTGGACCAAGGACTCACAAGCCTGCATCCCTAACCTTGAGTTTAGCATTATGTCAGCATTGTCAATTTCTAGTAGTAATTTTTAATGCTCATTGCACAATGGGATTATTTGGCTTTATACTCTCCATATGCCTTTTCCTTCTGACATGAGCTTGAGGGTAACCAAGAATAACCAACCCCCTATTATTTGCTACTGTTACTGTTAAAATACCATAAGAAGGCAAAATGAGAGCACATAAACTGTAAAATATTTGTGAGAACAGTAATGCGTACATGAGGCAGACTTGAGAATAGTATGAAGCCTAGAAAGGGCAAAGGAATTAGCTTATTAAAAGTTATATTAAGAATAGCTGACCTCTTTGCTTTTGCTTTTATTTTGGGCAATTTCTGAGACGTATTTTGAGGAAGTGTCTAGGTCATGCTGAGATTCACCAGATCCCAGTGAGAGGAGAAAACATAACCCAAACAAAGTTCCTTTTTCTACTTTCTGTCTCAGTTAATATTTTACCAGATACAGAAGATGTATAGTAAACATATCATGATGCAAATGCAGATTTTACCATTTCTATTGTTGGTCATTCAAATAGGGTGTAAAAAGTTTTAGAAGATATGAAACACCAATTGTTATTATATTATATTATATATAATTGTCTGTTCCTCTCTGTTTTTGCTGTTGTAACACACAATAAAAAGCTTTTCTACAGTTAACCACTAACTTATCACTGTCATAAATGTCTCACAAATCTAAGTTATTTTTGTCAAGACTGATTGTATGGCACGATGTTCTGTCAAATCAACATGGCAGTTGACGTGGTATTTTAACTGGTGATATTTCTCAAGGATCCGTATGCCTGGAGGAGGAGTTTACATCAGCCAAGTAGGTCAGTAGAAGCAGGTTGAGGGCTTGAGGTGACTGGCTCCCTAAAACCATTAAATAGCACTTGCTATTTAAAGAAAAGACTAATTGAATCTGGAATTTCCCAAATGTAGAGAAGGAATAGGAAATGAGTTGTTTTTGAGAATTGCGCATCATTCCGTATCTCCACACCCAGATATTGGAGTGTAGGATAACAGTCACAGGAAGCTAAAGCAAGAACACTGCCTACAGTGTCATGCTTCCTAATCAGAGTGACCTGTAGTTTAACCTTTTTTCTTTGAATGGGCTTTCAGCAAGGGAGTGGAATCCTTCTACACTCCCCTAAGCATGAGTCACTGAGTGGATAACAGTTAAAAAGGACTTGGAGATGACGTAACTTCTTTAAGAGTCTGTAGCCTGCAGGTCATATGAGCAGGAGACCTTAGGAGCTGAGGTGGCTAAAAGCCTCAAAATTAGCCTGAACCCTACACTTATCACAACAGTAATCGACTGAAGGCGGACAGTAATGATGTTAGTGAGACAGTCTGGCTGGCTTTATCTTAAACGTTAACTTTAGCACTACAAGTCCTCTTAGTCCTTTTGACTGTTTCTCTATTAGTCTGTTACAGTGATCAAGCGGACAGAGGCACAGATCCGGAAGTTTCTTTGGAAAGTAAATCAAGTAAGGTCGGAAGAGCTCTGAAACAATTTGTCCATCCAAGGGAATATGGTAATTCCCATAAGTCAGAGAGCAGGTACCTGTCTATGGTCAAAAAAACCTTCATCTAGCAAACCTACAGAGGTACAGGGTTTAATCTCATTACATTGCCAGGCTGAACATAGGGAAAATCTGGGACACACCTGAATGCCTTTTTCTTACAAAGGCAGAACTTATGAGACAAAGAAACAACATATATCTATCCCTTAAACAAGCACAGCTTTGGCAGCGAGCTCAGTTTAAACAACTGCATGGTGCAGAATAATGTGGGTGTACCCAGAAAAACCCACATAAAGAGGGAACAAGGTGTGTGCTCACATGCACATGCAGTTACGGATACTTCGCTTCACAAAGGTAGCGGCAGATTGGTTTTGCTTTCAGATCCACTTTGATGGTTCTCTGGACTGCAGTGGCAGGAGAGATATGCCAGTCTTGCCAATGGATATCTACAGGCACCGTGCCAACTTGTTCTAAAATAAATATTTTAAAACACACTGCCACACTGTCGGCTCAGTGCCTGCCTGGCAAACACACCACACATAAAAAATACACAGGCAGAAACAGACCCTGACATAGCCACATACATGCCACCACAGACCTAAACCTAGACAGATACCTAAACCGAGGAGCACCTACACACATACACACACTTGCTTCCACTTCCACAGACAGAGCTCCAAAAAGACAGACACACAAAGCAGCTCTTTGTTCCTCCTACTCCTCAGCTTCCTTTTGCTCCCTGTCTGTGCGTGCCATCTCTGACATGGAAGGAGGAGGCGAGAGGGTGAAAAGATGAGGAGACGATCAGCGAAAAACAAACAAAACCTACATCCCGTTTGCCTTTTCCAGCAGATCTGTGAGATGGATTTGTCACAGCACAGAATGTGGAGAGAAAATTCATGTAAAAGCTTCCCACGGTAAACTTGGGGTTTCTCTCAGACTTGTGCATCGCTAACTGAGAAGCAAAAAGTGAATGGTGAAGAATCTGCCAGCATAACTGACAGAGTTTCTAAAAGAGAATATCAAATCAATGCCTCTTTAAGGGGGTGTCTGTATGTGTCAGACTTAGATCTTACACACTCCCAGAGGGGGTAGGCTATCCTTTACATGAACCTACCAGCATCAGCTTGAGATACTGCCCTACTTACCCTGCAGTATGCGTGTGAATGTTCATGTGTTC